ACAAGTCTCAACAGCAGAAACCCTGCCTTGCTCCCCACTTATTCCACACGTTAAGTAAGGCGGCATTAAATCTGTAATAATCAAGCTCTACAAGTGGACTGAATAATGACAATTCATTAAAAAAAACACAAATAAGTCATGAGTTCCCAAAATGTGTGATAAGAGTGTGACTTCCCATGATGAATCTGCTTAATGAAGATTAAACATGCGATGCACTGATTGCACAAATCTTATATGTGTAACCCTGTAGACGGGGTAGAGGCGGCTAAGTGGAAGCTCACCCTAGTATTAATAACACAGGCTTAACAATAACACAGTTTGGTTTGCTTACATGAAGAGAACACTGTATAGCATTGCTGAGGGAGTAAGTTTACTCAACGAAATGCAAAGGACAGGCAGTTCAATTGACTTACATATCTGTATCATCAAGGAACCTTTTAATTAAGAGAAAAAAAGAAAAAATATCGCTAGTTCAGTGTCAGGCACACCTCAAGTTGGGGAGTATAACATAACCTGTGTTAAATTCAATCATTCTTTTCTCCACAGATGATGACCAAATGTTATCTTCCTAAATTTCAACAAAATGTAAATAAAATACATATGAAAATAATCTGAGGGGAAGCAGTGACACATTAAGAAGTAATAAAACATGTCTAATCAATAGAGCCAAGAAAAGGGCAGGGAACATCACACATCTTAAGACATCTAAACGTTTTTTTTCTTTCTTAATCCAACCATTCTTCTTTAAATATGCATAATGCAACAACAAACACACACGATAAATGAGTATCATCAAGCCCATTGAATTTGTTCTGGTGAGACAATGTATCTAACCTTTGCTCACTTCCATGCATGACCACCACTCGTGAGTGATGAAAATGGGTCTTAAATGGGGGGGGGGGGTCAAAAGTATTATGATGGGATTATTGATGATGATGATATTGAATAATATGATAACATTAATGATGACAATAATAACGATGTGATGATGATGATGATGATTAATATGATGTTAATAATGACAATGATGATGATGATGATGATGATGATGATAAAAAAAATAACAATAATAATAATAATAATAACAATAATAATAATAATAATAATAATAATATAATAATGATAACAATAATAACAAAATAATAATAACAATAATGATAATAATAATAATAATAAAAATAAAATAATAATAACAATAATAACAATGTCAATATTAATATCAAAAACATAAGCTATAAAAATAATGACAATGATAATATCAATAATTATAATGATAAATCAATAATAATAATGATAACAATAAAATAACCAAAAAAAAAAAAATCGTCACATGTTTACCAAAGTTTTTCATCACTCCTGATATGCACACCTTAGTCAGATTAGACTAAGACCATACACAACTAAAACTAAAAACAATGAGATTAAGAAATCCAATAGTGCAGGACTATAAATGTGTGTGCGTGACAGAGAGAGAGAGAGAGAAGAGAGAGAGAGAGAGAGAGAGAGAGAGAGAGAGAGAGAGAGAGAGAGAGAGAGAGAGAGAGAGAGAGAGAGAGAGAGAGAGAGAGAAGAGAGAGAGAGAGAGAGAGAGAGAGAGAGAGAGAGAGAGAGAGAGAGAGAGAGAGAGAGAGAGAGAGAGAGAGAGAGAGAGAGAGAGAGAGAGAGAGAGAGAGAGAGAGAGAGAGAAGAAAAATATTAGAGACTTCTTCCTTCACAGGTAAAAAACACCAAAGATGTAAAGTAGCCACACTGATCAGACTCTAGCAGGGAATTCAGCCACGAAAGTGTTCCTCCAACTCTTCAACATCACTCGACCATCAAAACTTCCACTAAAAAGGGAGGCTGGAGTAACACTGTCGCACCTCACCCCAACTTTTACATGGGACGGAAAAAATCAGAATACTGATTTTGTTTTTACATATAACAAATCTATTGTGATTGGTGATGTGGAGTCCCCTGGGAGAAAAACAATGGGTAGGCCTCATTTCCACAAGGTTTTTCACTGCAAAATGGGCTTTACCATTACTTAACCAAGGGTTCATTCTTTCACATACTGTCACACAATCTTACCTAACTGCCAAACATATACTATTTTCATAAAATATATAGAATGAAATGCACACCAAAAGATATATATAATATATATATTTGTGTGAATACCTCTGTGTGTGTAGTGTGGTGTGTGGTGTGTGGTATGGTGTGTGTGTGTGGTATGGTGTGTGTGTGGTATGGTGTGTGTGTGGTATGGTGTGTGTGTGTGGTATGGTGTGTGTGAGGTATGGTATGGTATGGTGTGTGTGTGTGTGTGTGTGTGTGTGTGTGTTGTGTGTGTGTGTGTGTGTGGTGTGTGTGTGTGTGTGTTGTGTGTGTGTGTGTGGTGTGTGTGTTGTGTGAGTGTGAGTGTGAGTGTGTGTGTGTGTGTGTGTGTGTGGTGTGTGTGTGTGTGAGTGTGAGTTGTGAGTGTGAGTGTGAGTGAGTGTGAGTGTGAGTGTGTGTGTGTGTGTGTGTGTGTGTGTGTGTGTGTGTGTGTGTGTGTGTGTGTGTGTGTGTTGTGTGTGTTGTGTGTGTGTGTGTTTGTGTGTGTGTGTGTGTTTGGGCGCTTGAGCGCGCGCACATATGCGCACATGTGCATCTTATATGAAAATGCACAAACATGAATGCTGACATTCATGACTAGATCCATCCATCCATCTTTCTGTCCACTATGTCCATCCAACTCCATTTATCCATGTCCTTCCAACCCAACCATCCATCCATCCATCCATCTGTTCCTCTCACATACTTACACACTCACTCACTCACACACACACTCACACACACACTCACACACACACACACACACACACACACACACACACACACACACACACACACACACACACACACACACACACACACACACACACCACACACACACACACACACACACCACACTCACACACTCACACACTCACACACTCACACCACACACACACACACATACATACATACACACATACACACATACACACATACACACATACACACACACACACACACACAACACACACACACACACACACACACACACACACACACACACACACACACACACACACACACACCACACACACACACACAAAATCAATTCACAGCAAATGTTTGTTATAAATATGTCACACACTTAAAGGCGTATGATACTAGGAGTCAAAAATACCCAGCGCTACCATGCTAGATTGTGCCGTGCAGTCCATATCTGGCCTGAAGACTGAGCTTTTAGTGTTAAAATAAAAAGTTTATAAGACTATGACTCCCTTATTACTATACAGCCTACACTCAAGTCATCATGATTTTTGCAAGCGGGCACTTAAGGCCTTCAAACATTACTAAAGCAGTTACGAACCAACTAGGGCTTATATGACTTGACCTAAAAATTTGACCTAAGACTCAACCTAGTGTAGGATTGAACACGCTTGAAGCTCTTTCACGGCTCTTCTAGTAAGCTAAGTGAATTATGGTAAACATAATGTCTTATCATTACAAAAACAGAAAAATAGAGCAAATATGATTGAGGACAGACAGAGAGTAGGGAATTTCACCCCTTAAGATTTTTTAAAAATCCATACATTTATACCCTCTTGCATGAGTTTTACACTAATGCATTAATGTATATCTAACAATGCATATAAAATATATCATATGACAGTCACAGTGAATATCCTATTTAATAAAAGCTTATACCCACTTACAAACACACAAATTATCCAGCCATTGTTATCCAAGGCAAGAATACCTGTTCACAAACCTAGGAGTGATTCCAACAAAACGTCTTTTCAGGTAAGAATCAAATATCACAATAAGTTTCCATACTACCAGAGCAGTTCAAGAGGACAGAGCAAACTCAAGAGAGAGGGATGAGGAAGCAGAAGACTAAAAAAAAAAGAAAAAAAAAAAAAAGAAAAAAAAAGGAGGGGGCAGGGAAAAGGGTAGAAATTCATTTGTGACACAGGAAGAACCCAGACAGTTGCAGCTCTCTAAAAAAGAAAAAAAAAAAAAAAAAAATGATACCAATATCCTTTATGACTTCTCAACAATCCATTTACAGAAATCATGGGATGGGAAGTTACCACAGCCAGGGCAGGGCTTCCAGCTTATGCTACAGTCATAGCATAACCCCAGCTGTTCTAATTGTACAAGCAAAAGCTGTTGCTTATTTAAAATGGTTTAGAAGGCTCAAAACAAGAGATACAGCTTATATTTGTCATCTCTTTCACTTTACAAGATTTTCCCAGTGTGAATGCAAGGGAAATCCAAAGAGCACCCATTAGTTTGACTATACAATCTTCATTTTCAAAATTCTACTGTTCCTGGTTTGTGTTGCAAGATACACTTTATCATATCAAAAAAAAATTATGATAAAGAACTGAAAAGTCCTTGAAAGACTCAGATCATGGAAAAAAAAACAGCAAAGAAAAGAGAGAAATTATAAACGTCTGCATATTCTCTTGGAAAACTGCTGACAGACTCCAATACCCTAAATTATGTTAACGAAAGATGCTGTTTGTTCCTTCATGCACTCACATTCAAGACCGGAAGCACCAACCTGAACTCCTGCAAACATCTGTGGTTTTAATGTGAGTTTGGACATTCAATTACATATTTTTTTGTTTCTTTGTTTGTTTTAACACCAATGCCCAAGCTTCACATTCTGGACATGTGTGAAAACTGCCCTTCAACAAGTTCATTAAATAAACACAATGACTATAATGCAATGAAATTATGAGCAACAAAGGTGAAATCTTATCTACAAGTAATATGATTTTGTTCTGTGATTTGCACCTGTAACACCACAGGAAAATAAATGGTCACATTCCATTTCCTCACAGAGTGGTGGAAGGACTATAAAGAGTATAAATGGAGAAGGGTGGATTAAATACATGGGAGAGGGTGAGAGAGAGGGGGAGGGAGACAGGGAGAGGGAGAAGGGGAGGAGGGAGGGGAGGGAGGAGGGGGAGGGGAGG